ATACGCAAGGTTTCAAACCAAAATTCGAAAATACAAGTTTTCTGAACATCTGTGGCCTCTAGAAAATAGATATATTAAATTTCGATAACTTATGAGGAAATGCTTTCAAGTGTAACGTGCCCATTAAGTTGATAATTTGCTCACAAATACGTCTTAATAAAACTAGAGAAAGGCTAAAAGAGTTAGTCCCCACATATCGTCCTTCTCGAGTTACGACCATTTTCCTATATATTCTGCTTCAGACAAGGTATATATGGAAGAATCCAATTATAAAATTTCGCCCATAGATCGATCTTGTGATTACTAAAGTATGTTGAAAATTTCAGTCTAAAAGAATGTTTTCTTCTTGAGATATTGGATACCGAACAAAAAGACGTGTCACAAGAAAAGTTCAGGACATCAACTATATTCAACATGTAATACTTCAAGAAGGAAACATTCTCTTCAGCTGAAACTTTCAGCATGTTTAAATGATCATATTACCTATCGATGTGTACAATTTCATAATTGAATTTTTTTTAATATATGCCTTGCCTGAGACAGAAAAATGATCATAACTCTAGAACGATAGCATAAGGGAACGAACCGTTTTCGACCCACCGGAAACACTTTCTAGTCAAATATCTTGTCTGAAAAAAAAAGCTTTCTAATTATTCGTTAAAAAAATTTTCTTGTTATGATAATTTTATTTTTCTCTAGGTTATCATTGCTCATGATGTTGAACCTATTGAACTTGTTCTACATTTACCAACATTATGTCGTAAAATGGGTATTCCATATTGTATTGTTAAAGGCAAAGCACGTCTTGGTCGTCTTGTTCATTTAAAAACTTGTTCATCATTAGCTTTAACTGATGTTAATACTGAAGACAAATCTGGTTTGGGTAAATTAGTTGAAGCAATTAAAACGAATTTTAATGAACGTTATGATGAATTACGTCGTCATTGGGGTGGTGGTGTTTTGGGTAATAAATCTCAAGCACGTATTAATCGACTAGAACGTCTTAAAGCTCGAGAAGCAGCACATCAACGAAATGCTTAAAATAAAAATTGTCTTTACAAAAACAACACAAGAAGAATACTAAAAAAAAATAAAATTCCAAGAATTTTTTGTTTTTTTGTTTGTATGTGTGTATTGTTTTGATAAGAAAACATCTGAATAAAAGAAAAAAAAAACCGACACACGAAAATGAAAAACAAAAAAAACAAGAGAATTTTTTCCATAATTTATTTAGATTAGAAAATGTCATCAGATGAAGACGAACGTTTACTTAAAAAACAAATTTTTAAAAATCCAGTTGAAATACAAAAAGCTCGACTTGATCGTTTAATGAAAAATGTCGAAAAACCTGTATTTATACCAGGAACAAAAGACATGAAAGCACCACGAGCTTTTCAACCACATGAATTTGTACGCAATGTCATGGGTAAAGAAATTTATTTTCTATTTTTTCTAATTTAAAATACATCTTATTATTTTGATTTATTTAGGAGCAAGTGCTGGTGCTGGATCAGGTGAATTTGATATTTATCGTGGATGTCGTCGACGTCAAATGATTCGAGAAGCGTATCTAAGTCGTGAAGCTAAAGAGGTTTGTTTGACGTTTGTGATCAATACTGCATTCTATTCCAGCTTCGTCAGCAACTAGCAAAAGTATATTTAGCAATATTGATCGAATTTTAGAAGCCGGCAGACACTAAGTGAATACTGAATCACTTTCGTTTTTGTTGTTATTTATGGAAGAAACTAAATAGTATTCTTTCTCATATAAAATAAAAGTTTGAAAACAGTATCGTAACTGTGAAAGTATCTGTTGGAGGTCTATTATTTCCGGTCATGAAAAGCTCTACCCCGTGTAGGACACTACACTGTTCATTTATATCGGCATATTCGATGTTCTTATTTCAAGAAAGGAGCAAATCGAAGGATTTGAAACTTTCGCAATAAACTATTCTTGTTAACATCTGTTCCTATACAAATTTTCAAGTTAAAATTTGAAAATGAGTTTTCCTTGTGTTCCTAAGAAGAGCCACGATATTGACTTTAAAAAATACCGTAAAAATGTAGTATCTTACCAAAAATAAGTTAAGGGTTCGAGTTCTTCTCAGAATTTTCATAGTTCATTAGGATCTACATTGATACACATAGTTTGGACTCAGCAGTGATTAATCAGTTGAGAGATTTACCTTGTAAGATGAATAGTCGCAAACGCAATTGAATTATTGAATAGTATTGTCATGAAAAATTTTTTAGAGAGAAGCAAATGCAGAATGGTTAAAAAAAGTTGAAACAAATAAGGAAAAAGCCGAAACTCAAGCAGCTAAAAAACGACGAAAACGGTTTGTTTACTTTATATTTTCATTTATTAAATTGTTTATTTTTTTTTTATTCTTCTATTTTAGTTTGAAACATAAAGAACATTCAAAAAATAAAAAATATACAGGTAATCAAAATTCGAATAAACCAAATGAAAGTACTTCATCATCAAGTGATGACGAAGATGAAGAAATATCGAAGTCGGAAACAAATACTTCAGATGTTCCCGTATCAAATACAGAAGAAAATCAAACGGTTAAAGAGTCTACACCATCACCACCAATCCAACAACATGAGAAAATAGGTATTCGAAAACATTTAAGACACAGACAAACAAATTCAAGTGATGAAGAAGAAGAAAAAAAAGACAATGCAACTAGTTAATTTTCATATTGTTTATTTTGTTTTTGTATTATAAATCTATGTATCAATATAATAAAATATCATTTTGTGTTTCGCAGAGAGAACAAAGACTTTTTTAAACGATCAAACAATGTCATTCACAAAAATGAAATTTAATATTTGCATGATGATGCAACTGTAATATTTTGCTATCATCAATTAATTATCCATAATTTATATTTGACAAATAAATTAAGTATTTTGACTTAATCTGATGCAAGAATTAGATTCTATAATCAAGATGTGGATGCACTGTGAATAATTTTTCGTTAGTAATTCGAGTTGTATTCTTTAGAAAGGCATTACTTCACTCATTTTACATCTTTTGTCGCCAATAAAATGATAAAGCATTAGCTTAAAAATAGTATTCTTCATTAACCTATTGAAATTATTCATTTGAAAACGATCTACAGTTGCTTCGTTCATGATCGAGAAATGGAAGAATTATTTTCTGTACATGAATTAACGTATACTTTTCTTCCAAACAGTGCTCTTATCTTCGGTTTTTTATTGTTTTATACTCAACTAATCGTTCACGAATGACTATAAGTGATCGGAAACTTTTTAGATAAGATATTTGTTCCTTTTTGACTTGCTAGAAAGTATTTTTGACAAGTCAAAAGTTATGATTTTGTGCTCTTTTTGAATATAGATTTAAAAGTTTCGTCTTCGCTTTTATTCGAGAGTAGTGAAATAATCTTTAAAAAGTTCAAAAAAAAATTCGTTCACGGTGGAAAATTCTTTTATGTTTACTATTGCAATTCGAAATTAAAGATTGGGGTCTTTATTTTAATAATCAGCTTGTAGATTATAATATACCCTACTAAATGCACTATTTGAAGTTTGATTTTTTGAAAAGAACTCTTGAAAAAATGCTTGTAGCCTTACTTAGATAAAAGCTGCAACTTAACTCAATATCACATTTTGTAGAGAAATGTCCGCTCTACAAAACAAATGACTCCGACAATTTCTAGCATCTTCGGGTCTTTCAAGATTTTGACTTGTCGAAAATACTTTTTAGTACAAGGTGTCCGGAAATTCGTTTACCAAAAAGAAAATTCAATATCTTCATTAGGGCTCGAGCAAACGAGCTGATATTTTTGTCAATGGTAGAGGCATGCTCAAAGTTTGTATCTATAAAGACATGCCTAGAGAGATCCTTTTATATGTAATAGTATTGATCTCAACAAAAGAATTTTACTTTCTCACAGATAGAGAAAAAACAATATACAGAGTGGGGCAAACGTCATTTTGCCAAAAAACAGTTGATTATCTCCATTACAGCTCGGGCAAATGAGCTGATTTTTTTATGAATGATAGAGGTACGTTCAAACTTTATATTCATAAAGATAAGCCTAGGAAGACCCTTTGTTAAGTATACTGGTTTTTTTCTCTATCTGTGAAAAAGTAAAATTCTTTTGTTGAGGTCAATAGTGATGCATATAAAAGGATCTCTCTAGGCATGTCTTTATAGACATAAACTTTGAGCATGCCTCTATCATTGACAAAAATATTAGCTCGTTTGCTCGAGCCCTGATGAAGATATTCAATTTTCTTTTTGGTAAATGAATTTCCGAACACCCTGTAGATGAAAAGTGAATAAACATCTTGTCTACAAACTTTTGCGATTACTGGTTAATTCTAAAAAAATAATAAATTTTGGTCCTTCTCATTAACTAAAAACTGTAAATATATGATTGTGCGATTCTTATATATCTACGATGAATTAATTCATTCAAAACAAAAATGTCAGTTTTCAAATCGTTTCATTCTGTCGTCTATACGGTAAACACATATGTTTGATAACTGAATATATAAATAGACTTGCAATCATTTCATATGTTTTCATTTATGATAACTGATTTTTGTCTTTCATACATCGTCTTGTTTCTTGTCCGAATATATTAATCTAGATATTTGCCATTGACTGTATATTTAAAATGTGCAGCTTGACATTAATTGAAGATTAACAATGATTAACGTACGCGAACGCAGCTTTATTATGATTCAACATGATGGTATTCAATGAGATCACGTAGACGAAATCATTTGCAGATTTGTGAATCACAGTTTGAAACTTGTTGCTATTAAATTTCTTCAAACAAGTCTTCTTTAAGTCGTGTTCAATTTGAAAGCTAGTAAATTTAGTATTTAGGATTTGTCTTTTTTTTTTACTTTTTTTCTTTTGGTTTTGAGAGAAAACCTTCTACTGATCACTACTGCTTATAGTAATTCAGATCTTGCTGTCTTTCCTGTTTCAATAGCTTTATGATGAGTGTGGGAATGATACGGCATAACAGATGGTGGTTGCGCAATCCTTGCAGCAACTGATCCCACAAGACATACATATGTCTCTATTCTCGTGAGAGAAACGTTGTTTATAGCAGTGATTCAGAAAAAGTTGCCAAAAGTGAAATTAAGCTCTGGTTTCGATTTCGAATGAATCTTACCTAGGCACAGAGCTAGTATCCAACATTTACACGGCACATATGCTAACGAATAATGTAAAGTCATGAGTCCGATCAAATTATAATTGAACATTTCTATCTTTTTTTCTCTATCCTTCCTGTTTATTTAGCTAATGGAGTAGAATTAATTAAACATCTTAGTATAAATTGTCAATGATATTAATTGAACTAGTTTAATATTGAAAAAATAAATATTTTTAATGCTTAAATTCACTAATTACTTAAAATTTTTTCTTCAACATTATTTATCGATAATGAACTCTTTTAATTTCTTTAAAATACATATTAAACGAAAAATCAATGGGAGAAAATTGATGTTAACTCGAAGCAAGACTCACATTAAGTTATTATATCAAAATTAGATAAGAAGAGTTTCGTATTTGAAAATAGTGTTTAACATTTTACACCAAACTGAAATAATCATCTTATTAATTAAAGAAACAAAGCTTGTTAGCGCAGTTCCTTTGGAGCTGCAATGTAGAGCTCACATATATCCTTAAACCTTAATATTCTAATGTATCATATGTAAACTGAAAAATTTCGTATATACGGTAGTTGTTTTCATTGATAATCAATGACAAGAGCGAGACTTTGTTATTTATGTCTACATTTAAAACAGAATTTTTTTTTGTTTGAGAGCACCCTATTTTTCTTTTGCATTGTTGCAATTCGTTCATTATCTTTCATTTTTTCTATTTTAAATCGTTTTTCGTAACTCAACATTCTTATTATTATCATAATTGAATTAATTGGTAAATAAATCTGTTTTATACATCCATGATATCTACAAAAGATCTTACACACTATTATATATATATATTAATCAGCTCACAAACAATGATGTTGATTATCTTTCAAAATTATAACTTGATCAATTTTTCAAAAAAACTAGAAAGTCTGACGCCTGTTATTCTTAATTGCTAAGGTCTGTAATGGAGGGATG